CAATGAACCCAGGAGAGACTTTGAATGTTTCTTGAGGGGAGGGGCAGGTGGAGACAGGTAACCTCAGTGAGACCACAGCAGCTCAACCTGGGACCCCCAATCTGACTGACTGCAGCTCAGACTGTCTCTCTACTCTTACAGACCCTCTCACTTCTCAGATATTCAACATTTGCAAACACAGCAGCTCTTTACCTGTGTGTAGTCTCACCTCTCCCGTCTGGGTCCTGGACTGTGTGATCAGGCTCAATAAAAACCACATGAGACTGTATACAGACACACATGGTCCTGATTGAGTCTTGTAAAAGCAGGAGCTTCAGAGAAAATCCCTGACGTCACCTGAACCAGTGTCACCAGCGGTGGGGGAGGGGCGGACCCTCCCTCTAGGGGAGGAGAGGAGGGTTGTCCCAGTCTCCTCAGCTCATGCCTCTGAGGAGGCATCTCCAGCTGATTAAAGCCTCTGTGATTTGCTCGTGTCAGTTCAAGCAGAGTGACCGTGAGGACACAATGGACAGACTATGGGTGAGTGCACACAGCTAACAGACCGACTGATACCGACTCTTGGACTGACCCCGAGTGTCATCTCTGTGTTTCTCTGTGGTAGTGTTTCGTCTGTTTCTGCTGCCCCGACATCGATTGAAACCTGCTGCTGAAAACCTGCAGACGCTCTCCTACCTCTGTTTTAGTCTCTGTGGTGGTTCTGAGTCGTTTCTCCTTGAGTTTACAACCACATTTAAGTTTTTGCAAACCTGAAAGAAGGGTTATAGGTGGTGCTTGTTAATCTAGTCCAGGTTTGAGTGGCTCACGGTGTAGACGTGATCTGACGTGGTCTAGACCGACAGCTGTCAGCCTGAGCTGCTGATTCCTGTTTTCATCTAGATGCACAAAAAGGAGATTTTTAAATGGTCCAGGTTTGACAGCTCAGTGGTTTTAGGAATAGATCTGGTCTCATGTGGTCTGTGAACTATCCCTGAACTCAGCACCCAAGCTCTTTATGAGTTTATGATTGGTGGAATATGCCTGAATGCAGCACACGTCCCGGTGTGTGTTGCAGACAGGCGTGTGTGGAGGGGGCGGGGCTTCTTCAGGTATGTAGGTAACAGGTCGCTGCAGTGTTTGTTGCTGGGGACAGAAACAGACTTGTAACTACACAATGAGTTTATTTGCAGGTTTAAAGCCACACATCAGACTGAGACCAGCAGAGACCAGAACAGGACCCAGAGGACGGGCAGAGTCGTCACTTCACTGATCAATAGCTAATACCAGTCAGGTGGATCAATTTCACTGAACAGGGACAGTCAGGAGGAAACTTTGTATCTCTGAACACAGACACTTGTTAGTCAGGTTAGCAGCATACAAGGGCAGGTTTTGGAAGTCCAGATATTCCAACTAGGTCCCTGGACTCAGACGTGAAAGGCCCCCATCCCTCAGGGAGGAACAAGACCTCCAGACTGCAAGAGCCACAAAACTATTGAAACTCCTTGTCAGGCAGCTGGTGGTTTGTGTCAGAGACACGTTTACCTGAGAGAGTCCCTGTTTGATTCCAGGTGACCATCGCATGTCTGTTGCTGAAGGTGACCTTTGAACCAAGCACTGCAGCAGTTCTGCTGGAGCCCAGTGGATGTCCAGCATGTCCCAGAGGTAACTACACCAGATGTGTTCCGGTGACCCTCCATGAAAACATGAAACCAAAACCTGTTTCAGTTCAATAAAACTGGAGCCATGTGTTTGTAAATGTCAGGTTACTTCATGACGAGGAACTGCTCTGAGAACAACGAGAAGAGAGTTGGTATCCAGTGTAAGCTGTGCACCGACTGCTCAGGTAAACAGACCAGAATAAAACTGTTCTTGAACCGCTGTGAGTCCAGACCTGATTCTGGAGCTGGACAATATTACTTAACTTAATTAAATACAGCAAAGGGGCATTTAGTTAACAGACTCCTGATAAATGAAACCACGGACACAGACATGCTGTAGTGACGGTCAGCAGCTGGTCACAGTGCTGTCGGTTCTTGTTGTTCTGCAGATTAAGTCCTAGTGTTCTGTCACACAGACCTGGTCCTGACGTAGTCTGTCTCTAGTGACACTAGTTTAGATTGAATGGAGATTCAACAGGATCCACAGTAATGAGCCCTGTACTCGCACTGTTGTTGGTACTTAGGTGGTCACGAGTCTGTCCGGGTCCTGCAGAGAAGAAAACCCTGTGTTTGAGCCTCAGTCATGACGCCAGAACCCTCACAAACTGATCCCAGACCTGAATCATCAGATGTGTTTTCTACAAACAATTGTTAGGAAAGGGTCAGAGGTCAGATGGTTCTAGGTTTTGGACTGTGAACTAGACTAAACAGGACATCTGAAGACGTCAGCTTGGGCTGTGTCAGTCTGATATAATCCTGCCTTTTCTTTTAGATTTATTGGTTTTTCCTCCAGTTTGATTGACAAACTAATTGATTAGTTCTCTGTGTTCTCCAGTGTCTCACCAGGAAACTCTGGTGGAATGTTCCACAGTCACAGACTCAGTCTGTGGGAACAAAACCAACACGACCACCCCACCGACAGAGATGCCGACCAGAGCTCCAGGTAGACTCACCTGTTGACTCACTTCCTCCTCAACCTTTTCACAACTCACAAATTAAAGTGTTGTCAGAAGAACTCAGGTCCTGCTGTCTCTAGATTTATGTGCTTGTCTGACCCCGTTCTTCTTCTTCTTCTTCTTCTTCTTCTACTTTGGGCTGTTCCCATCAGGGGTCACCACAGCCAATCATCCATTGCCACCTAAGCCTATCCTCAGACTCAGTCTGTGGGAACAAAACCAACACGACCACCCCACCGACAGAGATGCCGACCAGAGCTCCAGGTAGACTCACCTGTTGACTCACTTCCTCCTCAACCTTTTCACAACTCACAAATTAAAGTGTTGTCAGAAGAACTCAGGTCCTGCTGTCTCTAGATTTATGTGCTTGTCTGACCCCGTTCTTCTTCTTCTTCTTCTTCTTCTTCTTGTCCAGTCCCTGCTCCTGACACCTGGATCATCCTCACTGCCATGTAAGAACCAGTAACTTTTAACTAATCATATTGATCATGTCTGCCTGTTTGGGTGAATGAAATCTTCACCATGAAAGTTATTATGGATAAAATATGATAATTAAACATGATTATTGATATTATTGTTATTAATATATGTGATTACTGTAATAACAAACTTAGGTTTAGTCCAGTGTACAGTCGCTTTGTGACCATTCCACCTTCCTCCATATGGAGACACCGTGTTTGCACTGGGACAGACTAACCAATGTCTCTGGCTGGTTGAGCTGATCGTCCTGGCTTCACTTCCTGTCCCCCCAGCTCTCTTGGGTGAAGATTTTCACCAAATCTCAGTTTCTGTGAACACTTGAGTTGGATCTAGGAGATCAGCCAATCAGCTGCTGACCTGTGATGGAAGGGTGCGGGGACATATGCTGATGGTGTTCTGGTGTTTTTGCCTCTGCAGAGTTGTTTCAGTTTTCCTGATCCTGCTGCTCAGTCTGTTCCTCACACTGGTGTCCTGTCGACACCAGCAAGGTAACCACAAAGGTAATGAGCCCTGCCCTCCAAACAACAAACAGTTCCCACCATAAAACCAACATCTCCATCCTGTGACACGCCTGGTTGTTTCCTCTGCAGGTCTTGATCTGCTGTGACTGAAGAGGATATGTCCATTTTGGGACATACCGCCCCCTGAGACAGCTGTCAGACCTGATCCAGCTCCAGAGAAAACCAGAGTCTGGCAGAAGGACTGGAGTCCAGGTGCAGACCAGGCTTGGCTGGGCCCAGTTTCTGTCTACATCTGATCCAGTTTTAGGCTAGGTGTAGGGTTCAGTGTAGATGTAGGTCAGGTGCAGTTAGGGTTAAGTCCAGGTTCTTTGATGGTAGTTTAGATGTAGTTCAGCATGTTCTAATTTCTTCCCCATTAGGCAATCAGATTTAAGCTCTTCAGCTGTGAGAAACAGAACCATGTGCTGTGCTCAGTGATGTAAATAGTGACGACCGCAGGACCGTAGCTAATCTGTCAGTAGACAAATTTGCTGCCTCAGAAATTAGTTCTTCACTTCTTTCTCTAGCTCTCTGACTGGCAGAGATGCTGGACTACTGCTGGACTCACCTCAGTCAGACCAGAGCTCACTCGTCCAGATCAGACCAAAGTCTACAACCTGGAGCCAAAGGAACAAACATCCAATTGTTATTTTGCTTAGAAAACGTTTCATTGTCAAAGTGTTCACTCCCTTCTGGTTTAGCTTCAGCTCACCCAGATCCACAGGTGTCCCCCTGAACCTCCTATCTCTGTTTCTTTGTCTGTCAGTCAGCATCAGGCCGAAGATTTCACCCTGAAATTCAAACAGCTGATTTAGAAAGTCCAGAAAGCGCTGACCCCACCTTCAGTGTTTTACTGCTGGACTTTAGCAAACCTGGAGGTCCACAAACAGTGGTGACAACCTGTGCACGTGGAGGTGGACACATCCTGACTTTTATTCCCCATCACTGTTCAGGTCAAAACACTGGACTTCCCATGATGCACCTGAACCCCTGCAGAGCTGCAGCAGGAACAGCTAAGGCTGAACTTTCTGTGTAAAATCAGTGAAATGAACCTTTAACATTTACAGATTACGTGTCTGTGGGTGAAGTGTAACCATGATGATGGGTGTCAGGCTGTAACCACGGTGATGGCAGTGGACCGCTGTTGTTTGCTGCCGTCTCTGCACATTTTCTGTTACTGAGGTTTTACTGCTTTTCTTTTTAATGTAAATTTGTTTGATGTGGCGCAGCTCAGCAGAAACAAAAACAAAGACAATGAAACACGTGTGTTGGCTTCAGGAAAGTTACCTTTACACACAAACGTGGTTTAAACTTGTGTGATTTCACTTTCAGCTGTCTGACTGTAAACTAAATGCTGCATAAATAAAGTTTGTTGAATTTATTTGCTGAAGTTTGTTATTTGTACCAAACACTGCAACAATCACAGAACTGGTGTGCACGAGTTCAGTTTGATATAAACATGAAATCAACAGTAACACAGACTGTGACCGAACAGAGGATAAACTTGACTCACTACTGTTAAATAAAGTCCAGATGTTGACACAGTAACATCTGGTGAAGACTAGGGTTTATCTGCTCCCTGTAGCTCAGTGTGTGTTGCCATCCTACACGTGAAAACCATGATAAAATGTTCATGCTCTGACTCAGGTGCTTATCGCTGACCTCAATCAATGAGTCAGGAGCAGGTTCAACCTGCACTTGGAGGGGGCAGGACCACATGCACCTTATCAGGTGTAACCATGGCAACAAAGAAGAAGCAACATAAACTTCCCCTTGAGTTTGATGATTTACATATGAAATGAAATAACAGAGAATTCTGTTCTTCATCAAACAGGTTTTTTATCAGAAATAACAATAAAAACAAGTTTTTTTTTAATATAAAAACAAAATAAATTTGCTGTGACAGTGTGCGGTCAACAACCCTGGGACCTGAACCTCAACCCAGATTTGGACCAGGCCTCCTCCCACTCCTCATGTCCCCGCACCTTATTTTATTATTTTGACTGACTGTTGTCAGACACTTTCCCTCCTGATGAACGGGACTAGTCGCTCGCTGACTCAGGTCTTCAAGCTCACTTCTGATGTGAGGGCAGTCTTCTCAAAGCTGCTGAGACCCATCAGATCCATGGGTCCAGAATTTTTGTGCGACTCAGATGCAGACAGTGACGTCTACTGGTTAAATGTTTGATTTTACTGTACATACGGATCAGACCTGAGAGCTGAGGACACAGTACAGGTGGACTCACTGCTGTTTTATATCAGTAACTTTTTTATAGAAGCTGATCAACGTCACACTGTTGTCCACAGGAAGATGGCCATGTGTGCTGACTCAAAGCTCCTCTCAGACTAAAGAACAGGAGCAAACTCTGCCCACATCCTCACTCACCTACCTAGTCCAGCCAATCACAGCACACCTATCAGGTAGGTATTTACAGGTCTGTTGTCATGGCAACCAAACATAAAGAGGATATCCACATCTGGCTCTCATCTGTGTTGATTTTCAGTCCATCTCACCTGTGGCTACACCTGACAGTGATGTCACAAAACACAGACCCCACACCCCAAAGAAGGGTTAGGTTTACTGTATAGGTGTACAGTGACGTGAGAAATTTCACCTGCAGAGGGCAGCACTTTGATTTATATCTTTTATGAAATATCTAAATCCAGTCAGTGTTGTCAGTTAGCTCAGGTATTAATAAACAAAAAGAAACTATCTTCTGTTTTTGCATTTTATTTTAGATCTCTGAGCCTGTTTTTATATTTAAACGTGAGTCAACATCCTGTGACCACAAACCACATTGCTGTGGTGAAATGATGTGTTTGAAACTCATCAGTTAGCCAGTTATACACAGATAAGTGGGCTCATTAAACTAGAAGAAAGGTGAATTTGTCTCCTGCAGTTGTGTTGTGAAAGTCTAGTTTCTTAATGTGGAGTTAGAAAAAACTCTGAGGTCAGAGGTCAGTGTCACAATATTTAACAGTCTGTTAAAACAGTTCAGCATCACAGTACTGAAGACTGGCTTTTATTAACTGGAGTTTATCAGCAGTTGTTTGAGCCCAGGCAGCCAAATATCTCCATAAACTGCTCCTGTAAATAAACTTCATTCTAGCTCAACAGAACTGCAGGTACTGATTTACAGTATAAAGTGTTTTTCTAATCACTGTTATTAAAAAAAAGTCCTCAGTATAAACTAGACCATGGTTCTACTTTTAGTCTCCATGCTTTATTATTATTTTTTAACTGTAGGCTAATGTATGATTTGGCCTTTATCTCTCTCTGCTGCTTTAACTTGACTCACTATCAAAAATAAAATGAAACATCCTTTCAACATCTGGCCTCACAAGTTGTTTTTCAGCTTAAAAGTTTAAGGTGGTCAAACATAGTCACCGTTTTAAATCTGATTCCTTCATGTTAAAACTATAAGCATTGTTGGACAGTTTAAATGTAGCATTTAGATTTGTGTTTAATAAATCAGACATTTGAAATGATCTGACTTTAGATTGAACTCTGGGGACTGGATGGAATTTAGTTTTTATTTTCTGATATAAACAGTTTTAAACTGTTGTCATTAAACAGAATTTAGTCTCTGATCCATAGAAACGTTCAGCCACATTCAACTGTCTGATTTGTGTTTAGTTCAAACTCTGTGAACGTGAACGCGCCTCAGTCCGGGCTCACTTCCGACATGTTTCGTTGTTTTTTTTTTTTTTTTGAGAACTCTGAAAATAACTGCAAATATTATACGGATGAGCAGTTTAACAGCAATGTTAAGACTGAAAACAATTTATCATTAATTCATTTTAATAGCAGAAGTTTATATGCAAACTTTCAGAGTATAAAACATTATCTTAGTAGTCTTACACAATTAATAGTTCATCCCGACTGTTTTTTTTTTCCTCCGGCCTACAACAAAGTTTCTTTACTCAATCCCTAATAGCATTTAAGCTAACAGCTAACTCACTGAGATGTCGACAGGTCATAAATACAGCTTCCTAACTGTCCTTTGCTCCTCCGAATCCGTAGTTCACAACTCACTTGTCGTGTTACACTTTACAATCTGAGTTACTTCCTCAACTGCAAATAATTCGTGTGTAGTGTCAGTATGCCAGGTGAAATCTCGTTCGGGATATTACCACCGTGCTCTCTGCCTCACTGTACCAAATGAAGGAAAAATAAGGGGAAAAAATAAAGGAGGAAAGGAAGAAAACTCTCCAACGTTACTCCTGACATGGCCACTAGGGGGGCTAACTGGGTTTATATGTGGAGACTTTAATATAGATTTGTTGAATCCTAACAAGCACACAGGAACTGAGGAGTTTATTAACACACTATATAGATGCAGTTTATACCCGACAATTACAAAACCAAGTAGATTAACAACCCAGCATGCAACACTAATAGATAATATATTTACTAATGATATTGATAGCAAAATGTCTAGTGGATGACTTATAAATGATATCATTGATCATTTACCAGTATTTTTGGTTTATGACTGCCATGTTAGAAAAGAGAGGCCAAAAACAAATCTTTTTTATAGGAGGGTGATGAACGAATATGCTGTAAGGAGGCTAAAAGAGGACTTTTTGGGGCAAGACTGGGATGCA